TTCCAGGATGAGGTCATGGCACACTGAGCAAGTGGGTGCTCCCTCTTCATTTCCCTGGCTTTTCTCCCCATGGCCTTTGCAGGTGCACGGAGTCACCTGTCAGCAGATGTTTCAGACTAGTACTCTGGCATGTGAGAGGAACTTGTAAAAATTCCTTTGGAAAGAATATCTAAAATTAGTTGTTTCTGAAATACATAATGTCACACTTGTCACTGGACTCACCAGAGGCAGTACCTTATGTACATTCTGCTGCCTCTCTGGTTGATCAGCTGTATAGGATTGTTATCCCCCACCCTAACAGACTTCAGGCTGGGCTTCTTTCCAGCATCGCTTTTCAAATCCAAAGAAGCATCAGCTTGAATATGAAAACAGAATGCCAACATGATGCATGTTTTTTTCTCCACAATAGACGAATGCAAATTTTGCATTAGGGATAGAAAGCAATTTTGATGTGCAATGACTATTGAAACAGGTCTCCAAAGTTTTTGTTCCATCTAAGGGAAAATTATTGGCATAGAAAATCTTCTTAGTCCCTTTTCCACCTCTCTCGTGAAAAAGCCCACAACCTTTAAAACCGTCTTTCAAACTATTTCAAAGTCAGATAGGTAGAGTTGTAGAATATCAGCAGATTTCAAAATACCTTCTCAGAAAACAATGCTGAGATGTATTAAAGTTCTTTAATATCATAGCTAATGCATTGTCATTCTCAGTTCAAATACTTCATAAAGTACCTTGCCCTGAAATTAAACTGCTTATTTATTGCCTCTTCAAGTACCAGTTAATGTCACTCCGTATTTACATTAAACATTCCACGAGAAATTGAGGGAGAGTGCAGACACTACCTATCGCCTTTTGCTGTCACAAATAGGGCAAAGACAGTCACATTATGCAGAGATTCTCATTATTCAGATGCAAAGACAAATCCTAGATATACTATGCTTTACAGACAAAGACTGAATTCATAGTCAGATTTGAAACTTCAGCCTCTCTTCAAAAGAGCATTTCAGGCCAGACTCCTCAATCAAAAATTACAGAAGGGATTAAAAATTTGAAAGTAACAAATTTGTTACTGAACTAGTAGGACTAGTAGGACTGAACTAGTCCTCTTACACCCTGGCAAAGATCTGCTAGCAAAAGCTGCAATTCAGTTTCAAACAGATAAAAGGCTTAGATATATATTTAATTTATATCATTTCATAACAGTAAATATTTAACATCACAAAGTTTAAAAATAAGATAAACAACTGATAAGAGATGTTTTCTGGGACACTATCCCTGTTCCTGGTTTGCTTTTGATTTAGAGACTGTATTACAGACTTAACCCCAGAGGTTTCCATTTTCAATTTCTGTTACTCATCACCATACAGACAGGCTGAGAAGAAAACAGGTCACAGTGAGAGGCTGTTAGTCCCACAGTCCTCCTGCTTCCTTCCTTCCTGTTGCACAAGCCCATCAACCTTTCTTCTCTAAGGAGAAAGATCAATGCAAGAGTGACTGTCATCTTTATGACATGACAAAACAAGCCTAGGAATAGCTACGGTGTTATTGTGATGTGTATGCGGGAAAGACCTATCTTCTGTTGGATATTATTTTTCAGTTTCTCCTTTTTTCTTCCTTTTCAGTGCAGGACCACAGTACTCACTGCCTAGAACTGTTCCCCCAGTAGCTGTGTTCTCTGCAAAAGTCACGGAAGACTAATCTTAAAGAGGATTTCTCCCACACCAATGGTTTGTTAGCATCGTGTTTCATTGCTGTGTATTATCACTGGCAGCAAAGGTTCTTAAAACATTTTGTCTGGGGTGGAATTTGCATTAGGGATTAAATGCTCCTCCTTGGCGGAGGCTCCTCTTCTGCTGCAAGGATAAACCCTCGCACTGGGCGCTAGAGGGCACAACAAACATCCTTTAGATACACAGTATCTTAAAACATTGATGTACTGTAAACTTCGTATCAAACCTAGGAAAAGGCGTAAGAATAGTTCCTCCGCGGTTATATCCTAATATATTTCATTTATCCTAATTAATTTATTTTCTAAGATGACCATCCCTTGCACTCTAATCCACAGTACACAATTTGTACAGAAGAATATATGTATAAACACACAAATACAGTATTAGTATTTCCAGATGAATTTATACAACAGCTATTGTGCATCAGAACATTGTGGCTGTGTCATCTGATAAAGTGGGAGGGGAAAACTTTCATCTAGTTCAATTGCTGAAGAAATTTGTATTTATGACTCAACTCTTTGTTGCCTTGAAGCAACAAACCTGGCTGTTTCAGAGTGGTTTAGATGGAAGTGCTGAGCTCCCCTCTCCTGGATCCAATGACAGTGGGAATGGTTCAAAGCTGCACCAGGGCAGGTTCAGACTGGACATCAGGAAGCATTTCTTTACCCATCATTCAGTGTTGTTTCCCTCTAATCCTCCCCAAGGGATTTATGAACAAGAACCTGGGTTACCCTCACCTTCTGCAGTGCACCACTACAGCACTCATCTGCTGTTGCATGTTAAAAGTTTCAGCAATTCTTGACATAAAGACTGGAGTTTTCCTGTTCCAAGGTCATCACAGTGCCTAAGTAATAAAATGATGACCACTTTCTCTCTTTTCCTTCACCAAAACATAAAGTACTTTTCTGCAGTGAAACAGCTTCAAAGAGAATCCATAGAAAATCAATTTTTATCAAGTTTCATTATTAGATTTTCAGAGAATAAAAGTTATTCATCTTCTTTGGAGGGTTTGGGGCTACAAATAATGAATAAAAGTATTTTAGATACCAGTAGGAAAGTGTACCCATAATACATCTGAAGAATAGTATTTAAGCTACAAAGCTGTGCCAAATTCTTCCAATAGGTAAATAATTCAATAGTGCAAAAGGGTTGTCTCTAACCTCTGTGAGAACTAAGGCCAGCACAATGTTCTGAATGATGCTCAGGAGGTTAGACAAGTGAAAGTTATTTTCAGTCTCTGTGAACCTTAAGAGATGATTACGGGAGAAAAACAACCAGATTGGCCTCACTTTTAAAATAAAGAGCTTTGAGCTGACTATCACCACACAGGAGTAAAATCTTCTAATTATGACAGATAATTCCACACACTCATCAGCTCAACAGTCCATAGCAGTCAAAAAAGTACGAATTTTTACATCAGGAATTATAGGGACCACAGAGCAGAAAATCATCAGACTACTGGGTATATGCAAGGCATGTCCACAGTGTAAAAACTATGCGTAGAGCTGGTTCCCTCGCTTCAAGAAATAATACAGCAAAACTGGAAAGGGGCAGAGAAGAGCACTGGGAAGGAGTGAAAGTACAGAGCAGTTTCGGAAAACATATCGCCCCCAAAGAACAGTCCAGGAAAGAGGCGGTTCAGCCGGCACATGCTGCAAGTCCACAAAATCACCAGCGGACAGGGGAGAAGAGCACGGACTGACCTTTCACTGCCACTCACAGTACAAGAACTGCAGCTGTGGGGTGTCAAACGAAGCCAGATGCTGAGGGGAAAAAAGCCGGAGCCGTGGCTGCGGGCGGTGCCGATCCTGATCCCGCCCCGCGCTGGCGATGCCCGAGGGCCGGCCCGGCCGGGCCGCCGGGAAGAGCCGGACTGGTGATCCTTGTGTGTCCCTTCCAGCTCAGGATATTCAGTGATTTTATGAAGGGCGGCTCCCAGCCCCGCCGCAGGTGTGTCCGGGGCCCGAGGAGCAGGAAAGGGCAGCCCGGCTGGGGCCGGGGCCGGGGCTGATCTGGAGCCACTTTCCAGAGGGCGGCACGGCACAGGGAGCGGCGCCATTCATCCGGCGATTCCCCTCGCACCTGGTCCTGATGTTTCTCACCAGCAAATCTCTCACTTGAGTTCTCAGGCACTGTCAGATTATCAGGAGTGAAGCTCCCCAGCGATGGCAGGTAAGAACAAACCCGGGTAAACGCTGCTCGCTCCAGGGGGCCGCTGGGCACCTCAGGGATGGGGGCTCTCTGCCGTGTTTAGCTGGCACACTGAGGACTTACTTTCCAAACGACTGAAATTATCTCAGTAAGTGATGCCTTGGAAAACTCAAGTCTCTCTAAACACTCTGCCCAAGTGCCCTCAGCTCCGTCAAAAGGGAAAAAATCTGGCAGCCTTGCAGAATGCACTTTGGGGAGCTTGTCCATCTCCAGGCACTCCCTGTTTGCTGGGAGCTGCCAGGAAGAGCGAAGAGGCAACTGCTCCTTATATTCCACAATAACATGTAGAGAAGGGTTTTAAAAGCTTGTACACACATTGAATTTATGATAGCATTTGACCCGCAGGTTTTAATTGTCTTTTTTGCATAGCTCTTATTTCATGGACACTGTGCACCCTGATGAAATAATTGCCCCTTATCATTTACTTTAAAAATGAGCTGTTGTTTCATCAAATATTCAGTTTAGTTTCTACTAGTTTTCTGAGACACTGTAAACTTGCCTGTCACTTGGCAGGTGTTGCTCTGGGATGAAGCTGTGCACCAGTGAAACTGACCTCAGAAGATGCCTGGATTTTTGCCTTGGAAATCAGGAAACAGGAGCTGCATGTTTTGCAGACACAGTCATTTTCCAAAATCCCTATATATTTTGCTATCTGGTTATCTATAAACAACTGCTATGTCATAGAAAATATTTCCTCTTTCCTTATTGACTCAATAGGAGGGACAGTGTTTTGCTAATGTAGGGCAGTGTGACCTGCAGTGGAACAGCCTCTCTGTCCACTGAGTTCCACCTAGGAAAGACAAGTGTAGCACAGAACTGCTGGGCTGGGCACATGCAGCAGTGAGATCCTCAGCAGTCACTCAGTGCTGCTGAGCAGGAGTCAAATGCTGCCACTGACACCCTGCTTTCACTGCTTCTGTGTCCTTGGGAAAAGACACTAGAGGAGGAGCGAGGAACAAGCCCCAACTCTACAAACTGTTCTGCACCTGCCTCCTAAATGGATTCTAAATGGTCTCCTGGTTTTCTTTCTGCCTCCAGGGAAAAAAGTCCTGATAGTCTATGCACATCAAGAGCCCAAGTCCTTCAATGGATCTTTGCTGAAGATTGCTGTGGAAGAGCTGACCAAGCAGGGCTGCAGCGTCACTGTGTCGGATTTATACGCCATGCAGTTTGAGCCCAGAGCAACAAGGAAGGACATTGTTGGTGAGCCCAGCCAAAATACGCCCCTCCCAAAAACCAGTGACTTGTAAGCCCCCTGTCAGGAATCAGAAGGCTGAAAAAGTCTCCCTGAAATCTTCCCCATGCTGAACAAGCCCAGCTCTCAGTCTGTCTTGATTGGAAAGGTGCTCCAGCCCTTCAGATCATCAAGAGATTAATGAGAAACTCATTTCATTAATAATAAACTTATTCATGACCAGACATCTGCATTTCTAAAAGTCCACTCCTGAACATGAACTTTGTATCACGGTGAGATTACTGACAGGAAGAAACACATTAGCACGTGTCCATAATCAGCCACTAAAGTCCATTTCCAGCATGAACAGATCCCAAAGTACTGTGAAGGAAATAGTAGTCTTATATTTCTTTGTGCCTCTGTTGTCTTAGACATCTCTTTATATATTCCTCTGCCCAATGTTATATTAAATGTAGGATAGGGCCATATCTCAATCATTTCATTGTAAGTGATTGTCATTTTCACACTATCACTTTCTAGATAAGAACAGTAAGACATGCCCTGAAGGAAGTCGTTGCCTTCTCCTTTCCATGTGTAAAATGCTATGAAGAGTTGAGTGTGTTCTGGTGCAGAAAATAAAAAAAAAATTTTAAAAGTGTCTAAAGGACATCATTAAAGAATTCAAAATTTGCTACTGATTAAAATCACCGCTTGTAGTTGCTGTGGTGGTTGCCCAGTTTCCATTTTGTTTTCACCATATATTAAGTTGCATGTGGTTACATGTTTATAGAATTTCTTCCTCTGTGTGCAGTGTGTACAAAGGCTTAGGGGTAGTGAGGCAACCTGGTATAAGAAAGAGTGCATTAAGCAGTCAAGATAATGCCATGGACATGATAGCTTTGGGATGCAGTTCCATGGGTTGACTGGAAGATCTATAAGCCAAGGGTCCAACTGTTAAAAAAGTCTTTTTCTTCTCAGTGAAGGGATTTGGGGTAATGATGTCAGCAGGGTTTGAAAATAAGTCTTTCCTATGATCCCCTGGCATTTGTCACCACACTGGCAGATCAGAACTGGTCACCAGATGACAGTCCTACTAATAAGATTTTCAATTCTTTTGCATTTCAGCCGTAGGAGACATGATTCTGTACAATCCTAAGTCTTAATTAAATGGCACCCTCCTCCTTCATCCTATTCCACCTTTAATCTGGAAGGAAACCCTCACATGCTCCACAGTGCTGGAGTGCTGTAGGTGCTCAGGTCTGGCCCTGAGGTTACCACAAACAGAAAGCACTTCAGCTTCTTTTGCCAGGCACAGGTACTTCCTCTACTGGCAGAGAGCTGGAGAAAGTACATACAGGATCTGAGCAGGTTCAGAGGACAGGATTTGTCCTGTAAACCAGGCCTAAGGGTGGCCCAGACTCTCTGTGCTAACCAGGTAATTTTCTCTTTGCGTAGTTCCCCTTGTTTTGGTTCAGCATGCCTGCAATCCTGAAGGGCTGGATGGACAGAGTCTTGGTCCAAGGCTTTGCTTACGATTTGTCAAAGGTTTATGATGGTGGTTTGCTCCAGGTATGTTTTTGGAACTGTTTTATTAGCATCAAGGCTTGCACCATGTTCTATGGGGCCTTGTTGATTTCTTTTCATTGTAGTTTATTAGAGCTCTCACTTTACATTATGTTGAAGTAATGTATCAGCCCTGCTTCACATAAGGGTGTCAGACACATAATTCCTTTTCTTTAACCTATCTCTTCCCAAAGACACACAGTCCACTGTCTAATTGTATGACATCAATCTTTGCCTCAGAACTGCCACTTCATGTAAGGTCTGGGAAAGAAGTCACCCTCTCCCTTAAAAATCCATGCTGCCAGGTTTACCTGAATATCTCTTGAACTGTTCAGGCACTCTTCTTTAAATATGTCTTAATTAACTACGGCTTTCCTAATTCTAGGACAAATTATCCCTCTTTTCTTTCACCACGGGAGGAAGCCAAGAGATGTTTTCAAAAGAAGGTGTCGGTGGTGATATTCGCTATGTCCTGTGGCCCATGCAGGTATAATATATGAACATTTGTTTGTTGTCTACATAATTTTTTATTATTGTAGTTATTTTTGACAATTGTTTTATTGTGTTTTTTTTTAATTAAATATAATAATTAATAATTAAGTTGTCAGTTTTAAGGATCTGCAGGTTGTAAACTCCTACCTAAAATCCTGGGACTACTTTAAAAGTCCACTGACTTTTAAAGTTGTTTTGTCCCACTTACTCCAGATTAGAATGTAGAGAAAGCTTAACACTGTCAGCCTTTTCAGTTTCCCTGCTGTTACAGGATTTTCTTTAGCTCAGCCATGCAGGATTTCTGTTCCCTGTGGGTTCCCAATTCTTGTAGGATGCAGGGTAGGAGGGGAGCCACACATGACCCTGGCAGTAACAGTCAGCACACAAAAGTTAGCATTCTTCTTCTGATTGCTACTCTTTTTTCAGAAGTACCCAGCATGGTTTGGGAAATACAGGTGGTAAAGCAAGTTTAGCCAGCTTCTTCTTGATACAATACAACAGATGAGCTAAAATTCCATGGTCTCCTCCCCATGCAGTTACCAGCTGGCTGCTCCTGTGGAGCTGTTCAACTGCAGAGCTCACAGGTCAACATGGCAGAAACATGAAATACAACTCTAAATTCAGAAACACACCGAGGGAAAATGGCAAGTTGAGCTGATTCCACAGGCACTAGCCTTCCTACAGGAACCTTTGGCTAAGCCAGAGTCAAAAACCCATCTTAGAAGTAGATGTGGAACACTGCAGTTAGAGACCAATCTGAGGAGTTGCAAATTGAACAGTGAACTTCTGGCCTCCTGTGATCCTTGCAAACTGAACAGTGAACAGCTGCCAAGGAGGACAATTCTGTGGGATTAACAGCAGTTAAAAATAAATTCCCTAGAGCAGAATAAATGAAGTTGCCATTATCTTTCAGTATGCCATTCTGCTGAATTTCTTCGGTAGTGACTGCCTGGATAGGTAGTGAACTTCTGCAATTTATTTTCCTTCTCTGGATAAATGCACAGGTTTAGAAAACCCGACTGATATTGGATCAGAGAAACGGATGGGCGCAAAACTCTTTGTGTTGTTCTCCTTGCTCACAGAAACGGTGTCATCCTGCCTCCTTACGATTGATAACACATGTGATATTTCATGGCAGATTATACCATTGCTGCTTGTGAAACAGTATGTGGCCAAGTTTATTTTAACCCTTTTTGTACCAGTTGCCACTTTTTTTTCCCTTTGCCGGGGAATATGGTGTCCATACTCAACCTTTAAAAGCCCAAGATGGATTGTGATAGCTCTACACTTGTGCCTTGGAGCAACAAAACCAGATCATGAGTAGTGTTGCAAAAGGATGTACCATTGCAAAGTGTCTTAAACAGCTGGAAAGCCTTGTGGTCAGCCCTAGGCTTTTCCAGATCCAATCTAGGCTTCTCCAGATCTATATAGCAATATTAAAGCTATGACGGATACCAGAAAAGGGAAAAATTAAAGGTGAATGTAGTGATATGTGCATGAATTGCCTTCCTTTGTAGACTACAGCTCCCATTTGTAAAGTATGCGTCTTCCCAAAGTAGAGAGAAAAAGGAATCCTGTCTGTTGCCTGCCCACTCACACCAGTCAGTGTTGGTGTTTGGGTCAGAGGGTGTTTGCTTCCCCTTCAGCATCAGCATTGATGGGCATCCTTGGAGATCTCCAGCACCAGCAGTTAGTGAGGCAGAGCACGAACACGAAAACCTGCAGGTGCACTGTCTGTCTATGAGTCAGGGTCTATGGGACAAATGAATTTTCTAGCTCTTCATAGGCAGGATTTTTACCTGGAACTGTAGCAGGATTATTTTTGTGCTTTAGAGTTGTTAACCCTGTTTGTGCATATGGCAAGAGGTGGATTTCTCATTTAGCTATCGAATTACTTGCTTTGACCAGCTCACCTAACTGTTGCCTTTGCACTTTGATATTAAAAGAATGTGGCCTCTATAAGAACCTGTCCCCTGAGTCACTGTCAAATGACACCTAGGCCTCTGTGCATCTGCCATGCCTGCTTTGTGGCAGTCTTGTCACACCCCAGCCTTGCGGTTCCTTGGGGACTAATTGGATAATAAACATGCTGAGCCCAGGCTCTGGAGGCTCAGTGTAAGCTGATACACCAGACTGGGAAATGCCACCACAGGGGAAGAGTCAGTGTTCCAGTTTGCTCCCATATGAAGTGAAGGGCCACATCCAGCAGAGACATTTCCCAGGAAGCAGAGCTGCCCCAAGCTGTTGCAGATGTCTGCTGTGGGTCATGTGAGCCCAAGTCTTTAGGCTGCAAAAGCCTAAAGAAATTTGCTTTGGCTCAACAGCTCTATTATAGGAAAAGGAAAGTGAAAGGGAATAAGGAAGATAGTGTTACACATCTAAGTGGTGGGGAAAGCAGATTCATGCCTTAAAGACTTAAGGAGAAAAATTACCGAGAGAAATCGGAGGTAAATTTCAAAATTGCATAGAAGAGATCTATTCACTGTGTTCGATTAGCAGACTATTCAGGAAAGAAGAAAACTGAGGTGAAAGCAGAAGTTGCAACTGTCAAACCAACATTACTGCTTTGGATCAACTGCAGAGCTTAGTGGGGTTAACTATGAGATGAAGAATGCCAGACTGACCTGTATGTTGAGGATACTGTGCTTACCACTATCTGGCAGACACATGCCAGCTCCCACACATATGGTAGCACTAAGTTTTAATAAGATGGCTGAGACTTTTAGTACAAAGTGTGTGAATGGTTGAGATTAATGCAAGTTCAGTTACAGTTGAAAGAAAACTAATAGCCTTATTAAATTCTCATTAATGCTAAAATTGAAGATTTCTGCTCAAATAAATTCATTATTGAGAAAAGCACTAAAAATGTACCAATCTTTTTGTCCATTTCAATATAATCTTTCCTTCTCCTCAATCATAATTAAGACATTTCTCTGTAAATTCAGATTGCATTTCTGGATGGGTTTATTTTCCCTATTCATTGAATGAAGGAATGTCATAACTGGCAGCACTGGCCTCTAAGCACATACAAATAAATTACAGTTTCTTTCTTTGTGTAGTGCTTGTTGGCAAATCACCACAGAATGAGACTGACATATTTTTAACCAAGCAATTCTTACAAATTCAGCCATCTCTCTTCCTGCCTTTAGACCACACCATTGGCCCCATACACAATGCAAAGCTAAACAGCAGAAGAACCAAACCAGAAGAACCAACCAATCAAAGAAAGAAAAAAAACCCTCAGAAGTCAAATGTTATCAAAAGATTTCTGTAATGTTTTGAGTTGCAGGAGAAGATCAAAACTGCACAATTGGCCCACCAGAGATACCACAACTGTATTTGCATTTGCTTTATTTACCTGGCAAATGTCCCAGTCTCTCTGGACTGCAAGTTCAGTAATGCTCTCCTTGTGATACCTCACAGTGTGGATGGACACAAATTTGCTGCATTCAAACTACAGTGAGCTCAGTGTCACAATTCAGCATTTGGTCCTGAGTCTCCTCTTTACAGTGTGATCAGCCTTGCATCAGGAGCTGTCAGAGCATTAAACTCCAGTTCTGTCTCAATACCAGCTGATCCAGAATGGGTGGAAAACAGGAATGTGCTGGTCCTGCATAAGTTCCACTCATTCCACTGTCAATTTCTGGGGGCTTTTTTTTGGTTTTTTTTTTTTTTTTTTTTTTTTTTTTTTTTTTTTTTTTTTTTTTTTGTAAAGTCTTAGAAAGGAGCTGTTTATTCAGTTTGCCCATCATAGAGCAGTTTTGATACTCAGAGAGAAAACTTCATCTTGAAAGTGATCACCACGGCTGTCCTATCTCTCCAAACCCACAGCCACCTGCATCCTTCTGTGTCCCACCTGTCTTTCCCGTGAGAAAGAAAAAAAGAAAATAAAGCTGGAAGGAAGGAGCCTCTGCTCCCAGCAGATGCACGTGGGGCCAGCACAAGGCACAAAGCAGACAGTGCCATCCCTGGAAGAGCAGATAAGGTAGGTGGGTGAGAGCACCCATACTGCATTGCTGACCATCAAAGGAAGAAATTAAAAACATAATTGTGGGCTGCTATTGCCCTACCACGTTGATAGGCTGCTGCTCTTCTGTCATTGCCACTTGAAAGCACCATAGGGAATGCAACAGTTCTCCCAAATGGGAAAGATCACAGTAAAGACATTAGATACTCATCATCACCATCCTTTTCACAGATGAATGGCAAAGGAATGGCTCTTATATAAAGAACCTGTATTAACTACACACCTGACATCCAGAGGAGGCTGAACTGTGTGGTTTATGGTGATTCTATTGGTTATGTATTCCTCCAACTGCCCCAGGACTGTTAAGTGTGATAGTAACTCTGTCAACAAACAAACTCCTACTTTGGGCCTTCCTGAACAAAAAAAAAATCCTAACACATCCAGCACCAAATCTTCCACAGACAAAGGCATTTCCAAAATGCCTTGAACTCGCAACCTGGTCTCAGACTCAATAGCATCACCAGGTTTTCGAGGCTTGTAATGCTCAGAGACCTCAGGCAGTGACAAGGTCACCGTGCGGCACTGATCGGACTACCCAGATAGCTCGACAGGTGACAGAGTTACAATGTGGCACCGATCGCAGCCGCAAAGAGATAGAGCAGCGGCAGAGTCAAGGTGTGGCACCACAGAGACCTCAGGCAGTGGGAGGGCCACCGTGTGGCGCCGATTGCAGTGCTCAGAGAGCTCAGGCAGGGACACTTTCACTACGGGCACCGATCGCAGATCGCAGTGCTCAGAGAGCTCAGGCACTGACAGAGTCACCATCAAACTTCCTATTGCACAGAGACATCGAGCAGTGCCACAGCCATCGTGTGGCTGCGACCGTAGTTCCCAGCGAGTTCAGGCAGTGACAAAGGCACGGTGTGGCATTCATGGGAGTTCGCAGACAGCTTAGGCGGGGACAGTTTCACTACCGGCACCGATCGCAGCGCCCAGGCAGTGACTCAGTCACGGGGCGGCACCCGCGCCGCTCACAGCCTTCCGAGCCGCCTCCTTCCCTTCGCGTCACCCGGGCCCGGCCCAAGGCATTACTTAAGTGCCTTAGGGGCGAACCCCATTGCCAGCGGCACCCCGGGAAGCTGTAGGCGCCTCAGAGGCCAGAGCGCGGTAAGGCAGGCGCGCCGGAGCGGGGGCAGCTGGAGGGGGCCGCGCTGCTGCCCCGAAACCGAAACCACTGTGGCGACCCCGCGAAGAGGGGTGGGAAGGCGTCACCACGGCGTGATCCGGAGGGGCTGACGGGTTCCGAGGTGAGATGGCCCGGTGTCGGTGTAGCGCTCCGTCCCATCCCGCACCACCGTGGAGGGGCTCCCGGGCACGGGAAAGGGGAAGTGCTTTGCGAGGGAGCGGTGCGTGCGAGAGGAGGCGGCCGCGGCGGCAGGAAGCCGCCGGGAGGAGAAGGGCGATATGGCAAGTCGGCCAACGAGGAACTAGGCCAGAGCAGCCCGCGTTAGGGGCTCCCGGCTCCTCGGCGAGCAGACGCCTCTGGCTGCGGCGGGGCTGAGCGGGAGCGCCCGGCAGCGCCCGTGTCCGACAGCTACGGCCCGGCGCGGCGCCGCGGCCGAGACGGCCTTTCCCGATTCCCATACGGAATGCACACTTCTGTGACCAGAACCGACTGTAGTAGCTTTGCAGAGGTACTGGCTACTGCACAGATCCCATCCTTTCCTCTTCCCACGCTGCCTCTGCTCTTGTGAAAACTTGTGTTGCATAACACCTTTGTTTCCCTTGTATTGGCTTCTCCTCCCCTTCCCGTGGGATCCTTTCTGTAACCTGCTGACGATCTGACACAGGTATTTTCTTTGATATTTCCAATATGAAAAAAGAAAAAAAAAACCCCACCTCTTCCTTAGCGAAAAGATGCATCAGTGAAAAATCTCAGCAGAAGGGAAAGGTTTAGATGTAGTGGGTTATGACATTTACAGCAACAGATATGAGATATCCTGTTTTGAAACATTATTGACACAGGCAA